ATTACTTAATTTTTAAAATAAGAAAAAAAATTAATTTTTTTAATGATTTTATAGTTGATAATGAGACTTCTTTTAAATCTCATTCCATGAATTTGAAGAAAGCATAATAAATTATTATTGAAGATATTAATAACACTCTTCAAAATATATCAATTATATATTGTAATATATAGTACAAGATTTGTAAACAGTTTTTAAGTTAAAATAATGAAATTATAAAAAACTAATATAATAATAATAAGTAAATAAAAGTGAATTATTTTTTATCAATATTTCTAGTTCTTACTTTTTCATATATATATATATATATATAATTTGAGAAATATAAATTTGATAAATATATTTTATAAATTACAAGTTGAAAATAATGATTTGGATGAGTTTATATTTGATTTTGTATCTAGAAGTTCATCCCTTGCATGCTCCACTCGTAAAGACATGGACCCATCAAGTAAAGTGAGTATGCTTCCTGGGTCATAATAACTAAGACATGTATTCCATATATCTGTAACAGCTTCTGTAAAGTCATTAAATGTTGATTGGTGGTTCCATCCAATTTGAAGGAAGCAACCCAAAGTTCCAACTCTTGCAGTATAAAATCCAGATGCATATGAACTCTGTACAAAATTATTCCATACCATAGTTACGCATCTACAATATTCCTCAGGATTTGTTGCTCTTCTAAAAGTTCTAATGCATGTTTGAAAGGATTCATTGCAGGAGTAAGAGTGGGCTACTCTACAACAAATAAATAAAAGATATATAAATACAAGAGATTTCCAGAATTTCATATTCTCACTAATAATTTTTATGGAATGCTTTGGGTTTATAAGATCCAAACAGAATAAAACAAAAACACATTAATAATTTCTAATGATAGACAATAATAAGCGTATATTCTTGTTTGTAGTTTTTGGAAAAATTATACTAGCTAAAATTTATAAACCAGATGAACTTCCTCAACACAAACAACCTCACAAGAGATATTAAAAGGTAGATGCAAACTTTGTCTCTCCTACTGACTCAACAAAAACACGACCGTCGATCACAATCCACACCAACCGAGCCCTCGAGAATCCTGGCGATGAGCACGGCGTCGATGTTCTGGTGGTCCAATCTAGCTTGGGTAATGTACAATTGTATTTCAATACAACAAAATTTCCTCTCTAAGTTTGCAGCAGCCCCCCTCCATCTTATTACACTTCCTCGTGGAAATGGCAAAGAATCGCTCTCCTCCTTTTTGCTAACTTTTACCTCCCAAAGCGTTCAAGCTTGGGCCGAACGAGTCAAAAAGTCGTTGACGGCGAGGTTAGCATCGCCATGAGCAACCGCGTCTTCTGGTTCCGGCATGAATAAGGTGGCAGCGCTTGCCTGTGAAATAGAGGGAAAAACAAACATTGCAATAAATCAGAAAGTGAATCTCTACAAAATCTCTCATCGACAGTACCTTTGCATCGAATTGCCGCTCAGAACTAGCGCTGTCCACGACAACTTGCCCGCCATGAGCTTTCACCCATTCTTCGCACTCGTCGAGCACATCCTTGTCAGCCTGTGCTCCATTTGTGAATCCCAGCGTCCGAGCTATCACTTCCAGAGGTAACGTCGGCCTGTACGACCGAGACATACACCTCAGGGCTTCAAAACGCATCCTCTCCACGTAAAGATCTGCCATATTACTTTCGCGTGAGCACCGCTTTTCTAAACTTCGAAGAGAAGAGGTCTTTACCCATCAAATAGAAGTTGAGATTTGGAGCCGTTTTGTATAGCCGGAAGAACATGATGTAGTTTCCCAGGGCCACGGCACCACGCACGGCTAAAGAGTGCTTAACTGCCTCGTCTTCTCGGGCCTCTGGTGTCAGCCTGTTACGTGGGAAAAAGGTCACTGGAGTTTCTAAACTACTTATAGGACATACCTTGCTATTGATGACAAAAGATCTCGGTTACTTCCATTCTGGAAAATAATATACAACAAGCTGTACGCGGTGAATTCGTTACAGCAACCGGAAATCCCCTCGGAGTAAAGAGTCTTTAGCTGTGTTTGGCACTGAAACCAGCAAGAAAGGATCAATGGCCAGACAAACTACAAAGCAGAATGTATACCTGATTGTATTCTGCCAGGTCACCTGCTTCTAATGCTGCTCGAGCATGAACTTCGTACACCTGTATTATATATTAGCAGTTGCAAAAAGAAAGAAATAAAAAATTAAATCAACCTGGACAGTGAGTTCATTCCGTATTCTCTGTACCGTAAGATCTTGTCTAATTGACTTTAGCTGCTCGCACTTGTAGAAATAGTTTTTGGATGTCGACTCCACCATTTTCAAAGCCTTCGTAAGTACCTCTTCCGGTCTCACCTAAACAAACAAGCTCGTCAGCACGAGAACTTACAAAAGACCTGAGCTTACAGTTGCTGGGTCAGGAGCAGAGGTCAATCGTAAGTAGCGTTTCTCAATTTCCTGACACGTCCCTTTAATCGTCAATGAGTCCCAGTCGATGTCCTCCACAGCCTGTCCATTCCCATCTCCACAGCTTAGAGCAATCTTCAATGCAGAGGCTCTTCTGTTACTCGCACTGCCACCCCGACCTTTCACAAAACTTTTCACAACCGTGGCGCCACCCTTGCAGTTTTCAAACCGTTTAGACCTTGTCTGACGCCTCTTATTCTCCTCAGGATTTTGAGTTGGTATGGTTCCTAAAGTAACTCCGACCAGCTCAGGGACCTCTTTGTCCTCGCCTGACGCATCTGAATCTTCGTTCAATATCGACTTCCGCGGCCTCTTTCCATTAGGCTTCGTTTTATCCAGCAAGTTTTTCTGCTCCACCTGTTGGCCTTGCACCTGGACTTGCGGTATCTGTCCCTGTATTTGCTGTGGCTGTGGCTGTGGCTGTTGCGGAATTTGAGGATGTTGCAGTGGCTGGAAACCCTTTGGCTTGTTGGCCCACGGACTATCCCGTTTTACCCAGCTCATGGATCCAACCTGTAAGACTCCGTAAGAAACTTCGAGTAGCTGCTTTTAACACTTACGGAACTAGTTTGTTGGTTTAGAAGAAGGGCCTTTCCCATATCCTTCTGAATATTGCTGAGGTTGGCATCATTATTCGGCGTCGCGGGTTCCCATCTGCTCCTGGTCTTTTTGACCGTGAAGGGTTGGTCCCTGTACCCAGATAAGTTAGAAAAGAAAAACAACGTACTTCAATCAATATACCCCTTTCCGTCCCCTGTTACACCCGGTAGAGGAAACAGTGGTTCCGTGTCCCAGTTCTTTGTAAATAGCGTACCATCAGATGATGCTTTCGTAATTATCTGCAAGTAACAGAGATTTCATATCATGCATGCAGAAAGACTTAAAAGTGATACACTTACCTCCTTCATCATCTGCTGGCATACCCCTTTCTGAGCCTCGTTCTTGCATCGCGCCAAAGCTCTTTCAACGTATGCACGCAAGGAAGGAGGAAACATCCCAGGCTAGAGCAAGAACAAAGGAAGCGGCTCAGAGCAAAATAAAAAGCCATAAATAACCACCTTAAGTGCCGCATTCGACACATCAGCTGTGAAGGATTTTCCAGAAGAGACTTTACCGGCAACACTGACATATGCTGGTGTTTGCGGTAGTGTTTGCGGCATTCTTGGATTCATTTGTATCTGAGGCAGCCAGCCAATGGTAAATAACCATCATCAACCCGTGACCAAATCAGTATACAGACCTTCACCGGGGACTTGAACAGATTTGTTTGCTGAGAGTATGGCTGCTGCAACGGCCGCACTGACTGTTGGTATGTGTTGGGCTGGCTAGCAGTCGGAGGAACATACTGAGGATGTCCGTTTGTCGCCGAGTTTCCCTGCAGCAAAACAAAGAAACACAATTACAAAACTGCGAACAAAAACTATACACGCACCTGAGATGGCCATGCCGGTGGAGGCTGAGTACCAGGAGGCGGCGGCTGCGTCGTTTGAGAGTATCCCTGGGCAACCACACTGGCGTACGACGAAGGAGGAGGGGCTTGATGAGTCGCGCTAGCTGGAGCAGCTGCCTCAGTCCCTGGAGGGCCACTAGTCTCAGTAGCCTGTTGCATGCTCGCATAGTAGTCCCCTGGCTTTTGATACTGTGTCTGGTATGTCCCAGCTGCGCTTGGAGCCGAGTATCCTGGATAGCTTGGATAGTAGCTGCTGCCGGCACTGGTGGCGGCCACGTTGTTGCTGGCGTCGCTCCAGCCATTGTAAGCAGCAGCCTGATAGCTTCCCGTTTGCTGATACACACCATTACCATAATAAGTGCTTGTGCTCGGGTAGGACGTGGGCTGATATGTAGCACCTGAGCTTGCGTAAGGTCCCACGTTTTGAGAGTAAGATTCGTTACCTTGCTGCGCGTAGCCATAGCCATAACTCTGATAATTGGAGCTCGCATAGCCATACTGCTCACTACTTGGATACGTGTAAGTGCTTGGAGCTGTGGCTGCTGCTGGAGTCTTGGCGTCTTGGATGTAGGATGATCCAGGCTCTTGAGTCTCTGCTGGTTGAGCTTGTGTTTGTTGATAAGTTCCATAAGTTGTCGGAGGTGGCGGCGGCGGAGGAGGCACAGCATTCCATGCTGCGGAGCTCGGGAGCGGCGGAGGCGGGGCTGGAGGCGGCGGAGCGGATGGAGGAGGTGGCGGATTTGGAGAAGTGATCACTGTGGTCGTCGCAGTGGTAGCGGAGTTATCAGCCACGCTAGCCTGAGACACAATGGAAAACTACTTTCACTGCCGAAGTCCCACAACGACAAAAGAAAAAGATGGCTTACCTGTTGGGCCGCTTGAGCTGCGTAGTAGGCGTACCACTGCTGCTGATAGTTTGCATCCGTCGATGGCGTGGAGGAGGAGACTCTCGACGCATCCTGGTGATTCCAGCCCCAAGACGCTGCCCCTGCCGCTACCGCAGCGCCATCGCTCACTACGCTTTGCTGAGGATCCCACTCATTGCCCATCGAAGTTCTTCCTTCTCACATTCTCGGAGAGAGGAGAGCAATCCAGAAGTCCTAAACCCTAATTCCGCGAAACCCCTGCGCACTAGGATAGAGATTCCTGAAAGAGCGATTGATTGCTCGAGCCAGTCGCCGATGAATCGCCGTGGCCGCGGTGGTAGCGCCTCTCTCGCGTTGTGCTCGCAGCCCGCTCTAACCCTAATCCTCTATTCCCCGCATTTTAAAATAAGAAAGACTCTATGGCGATTCCCCTTGGACAATCGCCTCCCAGCGCCGCCGATTTGGCGGCGCGCCTCAAGGCGTGCGCCAAGAACAGGGATCTCGCCCAGGGCAAGCTTCTCCACAACGTCATTCTCTCCAGCGATTCCCACCGCCGCGACAATTACCTCGCCAATCTCCTCATCGCAATGTACGCCAGATGCGGCAGCATCGATCTCGCGCGCCAGATCTTCGACGCGATGGAAGCGCCCAATTCCCACTCGTGGAACGCGATGCTCGTCGCGTATGCCCGGACGGGGTATGTGTCCCAGGCCAGGAAGATCTTCGATGAGATGCCAGCGCCACACAAGGGGCTTTTGACGTGGAACGCGATGATTGGTTCGTACGCCCGTGCCGCGGATCCACGTCACGCCAGGGAGATCTTTGACCAGATGACGTGTCGGGACGTGGTGACGTGGAATTCCTTGCTGGCAGCGTATGCTCACGCGGGGCAGTTGTCTCTAGCTAGAAGAGTTTTCGAGAGTATTCCCCAACCGGACAAAATCTCTTGGAATAGCATAGTAACCGCATATGCCCAGAACAGAGATATTGTACAAGCAAGAAGTTTCTATGATCGAGTGCCACATCCAACAGCCATTGCAAGCGCTGTTCTTATCAAAGCATATGGTCATGAAGGAAACATAGTTGAAGCGGAAAATATTTATAAAAATCATCTCAAACAAGATTTAGTATGTTCAAACGCAATGCTCTTAGCATATGCCAATAACGGGCATTTGTACATGGCCATTAATCTCTTTAAAGAGATGGCTGAAAAGGACGAGATCACATGGAATACAATGCTAAATGCTTATATTTGCAGCAAAAATCTTTACGAAGCTAGAATATGTTTTGACGAGATGCCACAACGAGATATCGTGGCATGGACTTCCATGGTCACTGCGTGTGTCAACCTTGGCAATCTCGACGAGGCCAAGGCACTGTTTGATTCCATGCCAAACAAAGATGCCACCTCTTGGACGGTGATTCTTACGGCATATGCTCGCTCTGGGGATATTCTTAAAGCTCACTCTTTGTTTCTGAGCATGCCTGTCAAGGACACCGTTGCATGGAATGCGATGCTATCGGCATTTGTGAATGCGGGAGAGATGGACGACGCTAAAAAACTTTTTGACAAAATGCCCATTCCAACCATTGTATCTTGGAATGCTATGGTGTTTGGTTATGGTCGGCTGAGACAGGTCTCTAAAGCAAAGCAAATGTTCGATGTTATACCAAGAAAGACTCTCGAGTCGTGGAACACAATGCTTGGAGTGTACGCTCAAAACCAAGGGTTGCATCAAGCAAGAGATCTTTTTGCAGGTTTTACTTACAAACCAGACGTAATATCGTGGACGACAATGATTACGGCAAATGCCAATGTTGGGGATTTGGATGGAGCAAAGTCGTGCTTCCATCAAACGCCTTGCAGGAACTCAGTTTCCTGGAATGCCATGATCTCGGCTTATACTCACAACCGTTTAGGAAAAGAGGCACTGGATTTCTACAAAGAAATGGACATCGAAGGAATTGAGGTGGACGAGTCTACACTGGTAGTCGTCTTTGATGCATGTTCCCAAATTGGCGTTTTAAAGCAAAGTCAAATTGCCCATTCTCACTTTTCAAACCACAAATGCATGGGTTGCAATACAAAAGTGGCAAATTCGCTAATCAACATGTATATAAACTGCGGTAGCCTCAAAGAAGCTAAAATAATCTTTGATAAACTAGAGATCAGAGATTGCTCTTCTTGGAACACAATGATCACAGCATATGCCAACTCTGTTGGATATAGTATTAGCGCCATGGAACTGTTTTGGCAAATGCAACTGGATGGTATTAAGCCTGACAATATAACCTTGCTAGCCATTCTCTCAGCATGCAACCACTCAGGAAATCCTGACGCGGGCCTACTCTACTTCTATTCCGTCACAGATTTCGGGTTGGATCCTACAATTGACCACTACAGCTCTATCATTGATCTGCTGGGGCGATCTGGTAGATTGCAAGAGGCCGGGGAGCTGCTAGAGAGCATGCCATTTGAAGCAGATATTGTGGCATGGGTGACATTGTTGGGTGCTTGCAAGATCCAGAGAGATCATGGGCGAGCAATGCAAGTAAAGGATCAGGTTATGGAGCTGGGACCTCAAGGCGCAGCGCCATATGTTTTGCTTTCACTGCAATGATCGATGAGTCGATGAAGCTTGTCGCAGCTGGTTTGCTCATCCTAATCATGGACAACGAACAAAAAGCTGGTAGAAGTCGGAAGTTAAGAGTAAATTGGAGCTAGAGTAAACTAAGAATCTTATAGAGCACCATGAGCAAGCGATGTAGGGGTCCTTACCTTTCTTATTTAATAGAACAAAACAAGTATAATCAACTTATTTTGTCTGATACTGCCGACTAGTATTCCCTCATCGCGACAATAGTTATTTAAATTTATGTTTCACGAGTCAACATTACCTTGTCCCATTCAAATTGTTATAATCCCTTAAAAAAAACATTCTGATTACTAATTTGTATAGCTATGGAAAGGAAATCCCTTGTTTCTATTATAGTAATATTTCTTGCTTGTTATAGAAAAACTCATTCTTATTCTGTTGGAACTTATCAGACTTGCATTAGAACGTTTCATATACGAACAGATCCCAATGATTACTGTATATGTACAGCCATAGTCTGGAACAATTTTGTTTCCAATTTATTTCTACCAGGATTATATACTACACGAGTTGGAACATTAGGTTGTTTTTTCAGGGTTGGGCACTACCACCCATTAACATCCAGTGACTTTGTAGAGGCTGTAGATGACACATGGAATATATGTCTTGCATATTCAGAAGCAGGAAGTATAATCAGATTTGATGATGATTCAATGAGTTTAAGAGTGGAACACCATAACGATGAGTTACTAGAGGAAAAACCACACACAAACTCTTCAATTGTTTTGTTTAGAGTATGTAATTTCTAAATCCTTCTATTTCTAAATTATCTTTAGAAGGAGGCAAGACATAACAACTGAATGGTTAGAAGTCTAAATTATAATGTCTAAGTGGACATGAGGTGTATAAAACTATAGAGAAGTAGTAATGTACAAAATAAAATTAATGAGTTTGTGAGGTTATAATGCTTATAGAGATATTTAAAAATAATTAATGATTTAAAAAAATATTAGTTCTCATAAGAACTAGAAAAATATATGCATATAATTTGTTGATGTTGTGTAAAAATACCAGTCTTCATTTCTTCGTCAAGAAGTGTAAGTGCTATGAGTGATTCTCTTGAAGTGTATATAAGAACGTTCATGTATTGTAAATATGGCATCTTCTTCTACTTTATGCTGAAACTTCATAGTTCTTGTTGTGGAAGTTTACCGTTGGCAAATAAAGTTAGTGCTCATACCAAGTTGACATAACTAGTTAGTAGAATGGATATATTATGTAAACACCCTTTATACAGGAGCAAACATTAGTGATGTCTTGTCTTGAGGTGGAGATTGAGCACTTCTATCCACAATTCTATAAGTGCCAAAATTCATAGAATTATACAGATATATACTTGCTTGTATTAACCTATAAGGTTCATGGATGAGGCAAATTCATTTCAAGAACTTAACTATAATAATATATTATCAATAAGTGAATCATCACATCTAAGATCACTATAAGACAACTAGCAATTGCCCAGCAAATGCTGGGTGGTTGGCAAATTTGATGCCATTTGAAAAGGTTTTCTGAGCTTAGCTATGTTTGCTGTTTGATCGACTTCACAATTGAAAGACATTCTCATAACCAAATGTGTTATGAGCATTATATAAGCTAGATTAGATAACTGTTGACTTGCATTCCTCCATTTTGAACACAAAAAGCCCAAAGAATACTTCCAAGTCCATCTTTGGTGCAAGTGTTGGTACTTGCTCCTCAGCCTGCTAGAGAGGTTCCTGGGATGAGCCAGAAACTATTATATTGCAATGAGAGCTACACTCAAAAAGCAATAGGATGAAAATTGTACCTCTGCCATTAGCAACTAAATAGTACATGCCATAACCAAAATGGGACAGCACCCAAGGCACACCAGTCAATGCCAGCTTTATTGTGGTGTGCACTTGAAACTCACAACCGCAAGTCAAGGGTGGCTGAGTAGATAGCTTTCTGGAATCATGGTTAGATTTAGAATTGTGCCATGTTTTTGTCAGTCTACTTAAGAATTTCAGCATAAACTGTATTCACAGTGTAAAAGTGTTGATCATGTGGTATAAGATTGCCTTGAAAGGGGGTTGCAAGCACTTGAACATGAAGTTGTTCAGGTGATCTACACCTTGACAGAGCAACATAAAGTTGACCATGTGTGAAAACAGGTTGGGGGAGGTAAATGCCAACACGGTCGAAAATTTGGTCTTGGGCTTTAGAAATAGTTAAGCAATAACCCAGACAAACTGGGAATTGTCTTCGAGACATCTTGAAAAGGATTTCAACATCAGAAGGTGTAAGGGTAATACGTGGAATAAAAACTCGCGATCCCTTGAATTGTCCTGTGATAATTTCACAATCTAAAACGTTTTGAGATGCTTGCTTGAGAATGAGGTGAGTGCCATTGCATAAACCAATTTGCGGAGATATGTTCCTAAGAAGAATCAAAATCACATTTTGTTTTAGAATTAATTTGTGTGGTAGTAGTCCCGATGGGGTGATTGAATTTAAGAATTCAATTGGGAACTCTTCAAGGTGATCTGAGTCAACCGTGTCAATGCTCAAATAAACATATGGATCACCTAGTAGTCTTTCAACAATGTCATTATTTATTCTGAATGTGTCATCATTGAGTGGGGTGAGAATAACCTTTGATGCAGCTGTATAAGTATTTATAATATCATTGGTATTTGGAAAAACAAAGTTTACAATAGGTGTAGTGATAGATAATGCATGTGGTATTTTGATAATATCTGGTGGGAGACATGGCAACTGCAAACTACTATCACCATTGCCAAGTTTGAGAAGCCATTCAGAAAAACAAAGATTGCTTGAACGCATGTTCTTTGTTAGTGTTAGTGTTGTAAAGAGTGACCATAGTCTATTCATTTTAACTGAGCTTGAAATAATAGGGGTTTTATGGCCATGGGGAACAACAAGAAGGGTTTGACGAAAGTCACCACTTGTAATCACTATAACGCCTCCAAATGGTTTAGAATTACATTTGAGATGTTTTAAACATGTATCAACCACAGAGAAAGCATGTGTATGAACCATACTAATTTCATCCCATATGAGAACATTTGCTTGTTTGATGGTTTTTCCAGCATCACTATTAATTGTTAAAGCAGAGACAGAAGTTTCATTTAAAGGAACAGGAAGTTTAAAAGTCATATGTGCCGTTTGACCATATTTTAGCAAAATGCTTGCAATCCCAGTCCATGCCATATTGATTACTTTTTTTTTAATAATTGTAATGCTATAATGATGGTATTAAGTAGAAAAGTTTTTCCAGTACCACCAGGTCCATCAATAAAGAAACATTGATGCTGGTTAGTATCAATAGCATTTATAATGAGTTCAAAAATATAACGTTGTTCATAACTGAATTGATTTATGTTTGCATTTATTTGGTCTTGTGATGGGTCAGGGATCTCTATATTAAGCATGTGTTTGATAATGGGAGTAAGAGTTGGGAGTGGTAAACCAAAATCACAATTAGATTTATTGTGTAGTTGGAATTTTGAATTAATATCGACTAAAGCAATGTCAAAATAGTTTATATCATTTCTAGCATAATCCTCAGACATATCAATTTTGAATTGATCCCATAATAGATTTGGATCTTTTGGTGAACAATACAAACAAATAAAAATAAATAACTGTCTTAATTGGGATGGCATTTTAAAAGTAGAAGCTTCTTGCATGCAGTGTTGCTATTCTGAATCATCTGCTAAAAGTCCCATTGCCATAGCTGCTTGTTTAAAAGATGAGAAAGTAACACCTTCGACAGTACGTATATCCTCAAATGATATAGCACCTTTTTTATAGAGTAATATAAGCCGTAAGTGGTACAACTCATTATTAGAAGGAGATATGAAATACATTCTTGGTATGAGTTTAGCTTTTCATTGGCATAATTGCCATTTATGAGAGGATTTGTTATATGTGTAATGTAATGGAATTTGAGCATATGTATATTGCCTTGCATTAGTATCTTGCATGTTTAAATTGAACCATTGTGTAAGCATTGTTCCATTTTGAATGGCTCTTTCTAGTGCTTCTTGTTCATGACCTGGTCTGAAATAAACGTTTTGAAAATTGGGTAAATGAACTAGAAGGTGTATAATAGTTAGTGATTTATCATGCATGTGAAACTTAAATATATGCCACATGGCTTTAGGAGCAAAAATATATCGAGCATTGACAAAACTTGAGATTTTGTCCCAATTTAAAGTCCTTCGTTCTTCAGATGCAGTTAGGAATTCTAATGTTGCACAGTCATAACCTTTGTATATATATTGAAATAAATATTTAATACTTTTAATAGAAGCGCAGATCTCTACATTGATGTGTGCTTGATATTTTTTATAAAGGTATTTATTATAAGGAACAACCCATCTGTTGTCAATACTACAACCATTTTTTATGAAAGTGCGTCTGTTATTGGGCCGGTAGTAATCAGGATAACCATCAATACAATAAATGGTTTCAACATTAAATTCTTTTGGATAATTCTTAGAGCATTTGTTAATTTCCATGCAAAGGCTTCTAGGATTTAAATTACCACATGGACCATGTATCATATGATTTATAATTATGTTATGCAATTCTGGTTCTAACAGTGGGTGTGGCAACTGTGCAGTGACAAATTCATCAACTGAGTCTCGATTTCTTATCTTATCTTCGCTTGATAACATTGCTAAGAAATGACAATGAGGCAAATCTCTTTTCTGGAATTCAATAACATAAACATATGCGATGCACTTCCCAAAAATTCCTTTGATACTTATGTCATGTAGGAATTCTTTAAGCTTTAAGTTGAAAACTCTTGAAATAAGATTAGGTCGATCCTCAAGTGATTCATTCAGCTGTAAGTTTTGCACAATTTCAGGCCACTTTGGGTTGTATGTAAATGTAATAAATAAGTCAGGTTTTCCAAAATGTGTGACAATAGCAATAGCATCTTGATAATGTTGTTGCATTGCTCGTGGGCT